TAGCTAGGTTTTATAACTAACTCAGATCCCAATTAAAGGCAGTAGATCAAAACATGCTACTGGTTAGGTCAATAGTTGATTGTGTCTTAGTGGACATGTTTAGTTAATAATATCATTAAAATGGGAAGTTATTTCTTATGCGTTTATTTGTCTCATTAGTTCTATTAGTTCTCAGGAAGTTCTATTTTTCAACACAGCTAACTAATGTTTAGTAGTTGTCTGTGATTATTTCTCATGTTGATAGTGGGGGAGGGGCACAAGGTAGCTGGCTTTGGGGTGAAAATAGTATAAATACGATCCTGTTTCCTATAATTACTTACCCTGACCAGAAATTAACCAGTGGGGCAACAGGCCATGGTAAAAAAAACTGTGACCTGTGGTTCTTGTTCAATGGTTAAAAAAAAAAAAGTTTTGGCTGGAGTTGAGCTTTAAAACCACGGGTTGAACGGTAAGGATGCCTGCCTCAATCTCACTGTGTCAGGGAGCCCTTCATCTGCCAAAGTGAAGTTTGATATCTTTTTTGAAGCATAGCAGTTGGGAAGTGCAGCTCATAGTTGTAAATGTGTAGTCATCTGTAGTGACAATGAAATGTTTTGGCCTGCTTCTTAGTTTTTATTGTTTACTATACTTGTACTATATCAGACCTTAGAAGAAATCCAAAACTACAGAAACAAGAACCAGTATGAAATGTTATGCTCTAGCTTTATAATCATAATTTATCATTTTGTTTGTTGGTTTCTTTTTTGGTTGCCAAGTAACAGACCACTATACTGGAGCTCCGGTGTGACAAGTCTTTGGCACAGGAGCTTGTTTGCTGCTGTAATTCCTGATTTCAGGTTGTATCCAAGAATCGTGGCTATTCCAGACTGAAACGGCACCATTGACTTGTCTTTTAAGTGGTTTGGGGCAACCTCATCCTGCAGACATGTTTTTTCAATCTCTAACCTTTTCCTTTGTAGTATCTTTACCTCACGTTGCATTCGCTTCCTTCCAAACTCCTCTACACGTTTCCAGAAGGAATTGTTGAAATAGACATACAATTGCCAGTCAAGACTGTTCCATCGTTTCACCTTCTCTTGTGTTTCCAAAGAGAGGGCTTTCTTGGTGGTGTTACTTCTCCTATTTAGTGGAATGGACAGGATATCATCAAATGACCAACAGAGAGCATCCTTCAAAAGAATAAGAGACTCATCAAAGTATTCTGTGATCAGCACCAAGTCAAAGATTATGTCTACTTCCCTCTGTATTAACTTTACATTTTTAATGGTGTCAAGTCCATTGGGATCAAATCCAAAATCAAAAGTCATGAAGTTCTTAGAAAAATGGCTGTCCTTCATTTTTGCATCATAATATGTAGAGGTATTATGAAGAAAGTCTTCCAGGTTCTTAGCCTTTGCAAATGGCCCATCTCGCCTCAAGTAAGTAAAAGATGATTCCATCAGAGAGATTGGGTTCCGCAGGACAGTGAAATAAAAAGTGTCATTTGGCATCACTTTTTGAACCTGTAAATAAAAACATAAATCACGAGTTGTTCTCTGTGACATAAAGGGGTTGTATTTGGTGTGATATTAATATTCTCCCTAAACGACATATATACAACCATTTCGCACATACTTGCCTCTTTCTTAAAAACTGCCTGGGACAACTCACAGCAGTGAATCACTTTCAAGTTTTCAAAAAGTGGCAGAAAATCTCATTTTTAATGTAATAGGGCAGAACATACAGTTGGTATGTGAAAGGCTATGATAGATAAGGGTATTCTGTTACAACCACCGCTTTATGTATTGCACATACTTTCCTGAGACTTGTCTGTGCAACCTACTGACTTGTTGATATTTACAGATAGTGTCCAACTCGATAAGTCTGACTCAGAGTAGAATCCAATGTAGTTTATTTACCATCTCAATACAGAGGATGTGATTGCTTGTCATTCTTAGAGTGAAAAGATATTCCTATCTTTGCCATTAACAGGATAACACAGACCCCCCTTACCTCTCAGAGGGTGATGTGGAAAAGAGAGAGTAGAAGGATTACTGGGAAGTTTTAGCAGAAGACTGTACCAATATGCAGAAAACAGCAAGGGTGAAACAGAAGATACTATGTATGCACAGATTATGCTGTAACAATGCTAATCTTACACTTGTAGCTAGAAATACAGCATAACACAGTGAAATGCAATTATATAGCTATGCAGTGTAACTGAAACAGCAGAAATAATGAAAATTACACTGGAGGTGGCAGCACAAAGGGCAACTCTTTTGTTAGGTTGTTTAATCTAAACAGACACTGGCATTAGCAGAGCTACTTAGGCTGGCTTATCAGAGGCGTGCCGTTAATATTATAATCAATTAATTGCGCTTTATGGACCAAATCGTATCCACCTAACGTGACAGCTGCAGTAAAGAAAAAGGAGAAGCCAGAAACAAGCTCCCCAATTAATTCAATAATAAATGTGTAAACTGCGCTATGTCAATTGACGGTCTCCTCCACACTTCCCATAGAGATAGATCGTGGCCAGGATTTTAGCCCACCGATGAAAGACAAATAAACCGCAAATAGCATAAAATCCTTAAAAAATTATTTTGCGCAAAACAAAGTAAAAAACTTACATCAATAAAAGTGAAATGAGCATGTAGCATGTAACCCACAAAGGGGTATATCTCACAATAATCCCCAAGCGATATCCGATCCAATGCAGACCCACAATTAATTGAAGGTAGCAGCAACGTGCGCGCTTCTCCCCTCATCTTTGCACAGGGGCCATGCTAATATTCTCGGTATCGTTCCAATTTTAGTATATGTGCTGCCAAAGCAAGGGGATGGGCGCGCACGTTGCTGCTACCTTCATTTGATTGTGGGTCTGCATTGGATCGGATATCGCTTGGGGATTATTATGAGATATACCCCTTTGTGGGTTACAGGCTACATGCTCATTTTACCTTTATTGATGTAAGTTTTTTGCGCAAAATACATTTTTAAGGATTTTATGCCATTTGCGATTTATTTGTCTTTCATCGGTTGGGCAAGTGTGGCAAGTGTGGAGGAGACCGTCAATTGACGTATTGAAAGTGTCGAGCAAAAGAAACAGTTTTTGTGGTGGGAAAGGATACACTGTTTCTCCCAGTCGTTGTGAGGTATTGAATGCACACGTGGAGAAAAGGGAGAGAAGATGTTTGAAAGCTGTTTCTTTTCTTCGCTGTGGGAGAGTAATGTCCGGTGACTACACTGCGATTTGATTGATTGGCTCTGGTGAGTGGGAAGCATTGATATTATATTGGAGGGGAAGACGCTGAATATTTATTTCTATCACCTTTTTGATCTCTCACAATTAACCCTTGATCTGCGATAACCAAATGAGGTTATACATTTTGTATAAGGGTTTATAAATGGACTTTGATTTACTTATACTATGTACACATTATTTCAATATTATCTACACCTTTTTTATATTTATATTTTAATAATTTCTTACACTGTTTATATATGGTTTTTGAACATCTGAAATATTAATACATTATTTGCACATTATTCAATTGATCATGGATTCACTTTTAGCTCATTTTTATTGATGTTTCACTTACATTTCACGTGTACTGTATTTATTACGGCTAATACCATATATTGGATAGGTCACAGAAATGTATTAATTTAATTATTTCAGTATATTGGGTTTCTAGTATTTATTTGGTTCACATATGGGGAGATAGTGCGGTGTATTGGTTCAATATTCTTTTGACCACATTACTTTTAGTTTTGCCGGTCCTTCACTGCAGCTGTCATTTATTTATCTTACAGGAGAAGGGGGGATTTCCATAAGTGCGAATATTAATATCTCTATATGGCTGGTGAGTGTGCTGGGAAACTTTTTGCTGTTGTATTATTTGAAGCCCTTCCATGTGCACCTTGCTTTAAAGCTGGTGATAAGTTGATGAGTGTGTTTGCCATTTGTTTTGCTTGACAAGTCTATGAGAGGCCACTTGAGCTAAGGAGTATGGCTGTTAGTTCTAGCCGACTTCTAGCCTCATAGTTCTAGCCGACCTGTGACAATGAAACTGTCACAGGTTGGCTGAATAGAATGGGAAGTGAGCGAACACATACCGTCGCTTGCTCACTTCTCGATCCTGTCCCTGCAGAGAGCCGTGACTGTCACTCACGGCTCCCTGCAGGGATTCCCGCTCTCCCCTTTCCGATCCTCCAGCGCTGACTGGCAGAACAGACGGGGGAGGGGGCGGGTACAGCTGGCTCTGCCTCTAGATAGACAGAGCCAGCTGTCACTCAGTAATGTCAGGATCCGTCCTGGCTGCAGCGTCTCAGTATACCGCGAGCTGTAGCTTGTGGTATACTGTGCTTTGGGCGATGGGAGGACGCTAGTTTGTGTCCTCCCGTTACCTTTAGGAGAACTATGGGGAAAAGCACTGACCCCATAGTTCTGCTTTAATCGGCTCTGGCAGCAAGGGGCACTGCAGCAAGTTTGTAGGAAGCAGAAGAGAAAATTGTATTTTAAGGCATTTCCCTAAAAAATCTTCCACAAATCATAACATGCAGAATTTATTAAGAGATAAAAATGTATGAGGCATCATCCAGGGCTTTGACATTTCCCACTTTACTACTTTTGTGAGTGAAATCCTTTACACAAAGGTTTATTAAAAAACAGCATTTATTACAAAAATTACATTAGGAATATTATACCACAGTAACTCGAGTTCACTATTCATCTCTGTATTCTTATTTTTTAAGGTGGAGTAAAGTGCTAAGACTATGTGCTATGGGAAATAACCTAAAGAAACCAATCAGATCTCCACTTATTAACCATCTGAGTACAACAAACTGAAATCTGATTTTTATAACAGTTTTCAAAAGTGAAGTTAACGTTAATTTAATGCTTTTTGTCATATACGCAAGTAAAAAGTGCAATGAAATGCTTACTTACTTGCATCCTCGCAGTTTAACAGCACATAATGGTCTATTTATCAATGTTTTTACCCCAGGAATCACTAATTTTTCCCATAAAAATTAAATTAGAAAATGTAGTTAACATTGAATGAACGTAACTTGAATGAATCTTGCTATTTTAAATAAATATTGCTAAACAGACTATTTAGTATGTAACCTTTTGTATATACTAAATATTTAACAACTAGCGGTTGACCATTTATGGCTACACTGAAAACCTGTGGCATTGATGACCTTTATTCATATGCAGCTATTTAAATTAAGCTGTTATGTATTCTATTGAACCAGGCATTGGTTAGAGATACTGTATATAGTTTTCCTGCACTCTAATTTTTATTCAAAGAGTAAAAACAATAGTAATCTGTATTGTAAATAAATAGAATTGTGAAGGTCTCACTCACCTCTGCGAACCTGAAGCGCATGTGATGGCACATGATGTTGAAAGTATTATTTCCTCTTCCAGAAAAACCATTCACAAAAGAAGCTGAAAATAAGTTGGGGTAAGAATATAATGTATTGTATACAGGAAAGGCGAAGGTCAAGTTGTGGAATTCACCGTAGCGGAAGAGGATGTTCATGATGGTGCTGCTGGCTGTCTTGTGGGTCTTCAAGAAAAAGATGTTTCTCTTGGGTTGACAGGACCTTCTGTCTTCATTAAACAGTGCCTTCCTGAGGTACACTCTGTACCCAAATCATAAAAAAGAAACTATAGTGAGTACTCACTTTTAGTTATTATTGCAAAGTTTATCTTAAAGTGACCCCATCACCCAAGTGAGTCATGTGACTGTAGTGCAGAAAGACAAAACTTACTTCTCCT